TGTCAGTGAAAAAAACATTTCAAATTTTAATTTGGTAATATATAACAGAATAATGAATAAAAATAGTCCTGTGAATACTGTTGAAATATGCTTCCAGTTATACAGTGTCATTATTACATTGTGAATGAGGAGGCATTACACCACAATTTTGTCACACTAAGAAGAAAATGACTGCTACTGTGTGATAAGAGGCCACATCATGGCAACAGCATCGTTGTGTTTCAACAGCTGAGTAGGAAAGTAAGAACAGGTGCCTTGGCATCATGCACTCCTCAGCCTTCTTCTTGAAAAGGAGGCATTGTTTTATCAATCAACCGTCTTGATGTTGGCACTGAAAATAGCCATTCACTGCTGCTTGTGAATTAAATAAGTATTTTGGCAATGGTACATGCATATCAAAAGCAATGCATTTATGCCCTCTTATTCGTGAATGATACACACACTATTTGACGTTACTGTAATACAGTTGATCTCATGATATTGCATTGTACAGATGGTTCTTCCAAAAGGATGGAGAGGGTATTCCTCATGGGCCCTCAAACACTCTTCCTCTTGCAGGTTCCACAGGGAAAACACCCTAAATGAGGCTGGTTCTTAGAATGTGATGGTAATACCATGATAACTGCAGCCTTGGGTGGAGGGAGGGCTATAACCACAGTTTTCTTGGAGGCTTCTGTATCCGCCCTTCAAGCCTCAAGTTCTCTTGTTTCTTTTTTTTCCTTATTGATGACAAATCTCTTTACCTACCTTTCTCTCTTCCTTTCTGCTCGTTTGGGACCTCTTCTGTATGTATGCTCTTACCCAGAACCACACTGTCTTACTAACTGCTCCCTGGGGACTCTAATCCTGCTTGTCCCACTGCTGTAAGTTCTCAGCTCTCCCAAAATACTGTGTTTGTGAAGAGCAAGGAGTCATTCTACACACTGGAAGAGAATCCTGCACAGTTACCTGATCTGATAGCCAGAGAGAGAGAGAAATTGCAGTGGTCACATCCTGTTGGCCGTGTCTGTTGGTGTGTGCATGCAGTCTCTCTGTATACACTAAAACACTCTCAGCAACTTACACAGAGCTTATTGACCCAGAGTCATCACAGACTGCAGGTGTTTGGTTGTAAATTTTAGTGGGGCGTTTCTTGGTATATATCAATGATAATCCTGTGCACTTCCATGAGTAATAGTGACATCACTCTCGTGGCTTTCCTTCACTTTATAGGTATGTTATTCTTTACTTTACTGCCAAGAAAATAGTGAAACATCCTAATTCTAATTTGAATTCCAGACTCCTCCAAATTCCCCAAGCGAGGAAACAAAAGAACCAGCAGAACCAAAGCAAAAGAATTGGTTTTGACCCCAGCACAAAAACTGGCTTGCTTTGTGAGTCTGGGGTGAGGACTTTAAGTTTGTTGCCTCAGGTCTTGGGGCCTGAGGGCAGTTGTCAGCTGGGGCTGAAGGACCCGGAGACGACTTTAATGTCCAATAGGTTGCTGTCAGACTGCTGTCTCAAGTTGCTCTGTGATTGTTCTTCCATCATTTCTCATTTCCCCCCAAGTTCATCCTTAAAACTGACTTCACTTCAGCGTCATCTCTTTCTGAGCGCTGAAGATGTCAGCTTTGGTTTTGGGCACATTCATTCACGTGTTGTTTTGTAACCACTGCTTATGTTGGAAATAAACTAACCCTTGATGTGACACATTCTTAACATGGTCGTGTGTTGCCAGTGCCGTGACGTGGTGACGGTAGCGTTTTTGGTTGTGCTGTATATGCAATTTGTTTTTCATTCTCCACAGCTCTTTTACAGTAATGGCTTGTTTGTGTGTGCAAGTGCACACAACGTAAACGAAACAATGAGATGTTTCTTTGTGCCAGATGTATATGTTATTGTATGGAGCTGACATTTATTTTCATTCATCTCCCAGTTGTTGGATTTGTTCTATTGGCTTGCGTTATTCATCGATATTAGTTCAATGTTAAACCAACTGCACCCATAACACTTGTGTTCTGTTCAATAAGAGTCTTTAGGCTGTGCGAAAGCATTGTAACAGCACCGCATGCATAAGCTCTATACAACAGAACTCGTTTATATTCATGGCCATGTTGAAAATGCGCATGCATCCACTCCTGCCATGTGTAAGAAAGTACTAACGTGATCAAATGGTACACTGGTTGTGTTATGCCATTTAAATGTATGTTTGTTCGTGATATCTATTTGTCCATGAATAACACTCCTTTTGCTTTTCCCCCCCATTTCCCCACACTTTTAAGTGTTTTTGTTCCTGTGTTTCACTGGATAGGACTACCCAGTTGCAGGATTACTGAAATATATTTATGGTTTAGATTTACCCATCCTTTAGTAGTCTTAACACCGACTGAATGAAGTACTATAAACAGCCTAAACCTAAACACATAGCTCACATGAGCAGACTGCAGCTACTCAGACAAAGAACCTACTCAGACAAAGAACAAGCCTGATTACAGGGCTTTATAAAAGGGACTAGATGGGACTAGATGACAGTCCCAAAGATAGATGCTCTTTCTTGTTTAAAACTTGCTTCTACAGACACAGAACTTAAAATGGAGAAATTTTTCCCTTGTTTTTTTCCATTGGTCTGCCTGTGTTTGTAAATAACGCATTAGAAAAAATAATTCTCTTGAGGACAGATTTGACTTTTAAAATCTTACTTTTATTTAAAAATGCTATATATCAGAAAATATTATGTACAGTACTAGTTCATGTTGCTGGATAGCAAGAATTTGTGCTTTCTTTAAAGCTTGGTGTTTAAGACATTGAAACATAAGATGAAATTAATGTCCAGCTATTGTGGGTGCAGGGCAACGTCTTTGAAAGTATTTTGTGCTGTGTTTCCCTGACATCATGTCTTGTCTTTGGAAGGAACTGCCACGTTCCCCTGTCGCTCCACCGCTGGATTCTTGCTTTTTGAGACCTGCCCGACCGGCCAATCAGCGGCCGCCCTCCCGCTGGGCGAACCACTCCCCTTCCTCCTCTCCTTGCTGGTCCCAAACGTCCGAGAGGAAGTTCTGTTTCCCGCCGGTGGAGCTGCGTCTCACTCTGCCACAAACCGAAGCGCCTGGTGAAGACCACAGTTTCATATGAAACTCCCTCACCAGCCTCGCCTTTTCTAGCCTCTCTTGCACCCGTTCCTGTGTCTCGCTGGCACCGAGGTGGACTGGAGACCTAGGAGGATGTGATTTATAATTTGCAATGTTAAAAAAAAAAAAATACAAATAAATCAAACAGTCTAATCTGGAATATGCTGTGCTACAAGTTCTGAAACATAAAACAAATTCATGAAACGTGCCTGTACAAACCTGAGTTCTTGACTGTAAAAATAATATATATATATATGTGTGTATGCGTGGGAATGTGTATGAATGTATGGAAGTCTTCACTTTATTTTTTATGGGTTAATCAGAGGTGGGGCTTTTTGGATGGCAAGAATAACTGCAGATCATCACTTTACTTGTCATCTCAGGTGTCCTGACTGTGTTGAAATGTTTATCCTTTTTCAGTTATCATTAACACTCTACTTTCCCCAGGGAAGTAGTTTCTTAACAGTAAAGCCTCCATTTTGGTTCTGGCCTTCTAAAGTCGGAGCTGAAAAACATAACAGATTCATTACAGAAAATAATAAATTACAAAAACTTCACTGGAGCAGAAAAAATGTCATAAAATATCTGATCTATTTCTGTAATGAACATTCAGTTCTTTGAGAACTGCATTAAATTATTTAAGAGCTGGGATGGAAACATGAACCTGATGCATATTGGCAGACAATTGTGTGCATCTCTGTGATATCTGATCTGCATGCCTTTTAGGTCTTAGCACTTTAGTGCATGTATATACAGGCTGTCATATTTCACCATGACTCATTATGTGAATACCACTGTAAAAATATTGTGAGTAATCCTGTACTGTATTTTTGTCGTAACCTAATTTAACTCATCAAAATTTTAATGTAAATAATTGTAGGTTTCAACAGTCTGTTTACAGTTGTTATGGCAGAACTGCGAAACACATAGGGATGGAAATGGGGAAAATTATGTCACAAACAGAAATAAATCTATGTAAGAGCGGTTATAATGGTAACATGGTAATAAATTGAACATGCATTTACAACAAGCGTCCTGGTGGTGTTTTGATAATGTTCGTTGTTATAACAGGAAATAATTGATATATTGAATAAAATATGTAAAATTTGTGTACTTTTGTGTACTAACATGCATGTATGTTGTATTTGTTTATGTGATCTTATGTGACCCTAGAGTCTGTCATTGATAACAATACCTCTTCAGATACTCATGATGTAACTTGCAGGCTCTCAGCAAATGGTTAAACTAAACATTCCCATTGCACTGCAACACTTTCATACATTATACGTGTGCAGTGTGCGTTGTCTTACAATTTACTCTTAGACTGCTGCAGTTATGAGGAAGCCAATCATTACAGTATAGTCAAACACATTCATTACATCAGTCATTTGCTTAGGAGACACCTTTACACAGGGGAGTCGGTACATTCTTCTATCACATATTTAGTAGCTCATGTATATAGTTCAATCTTCTCTGGAGCATTTCGAGGAGACTGCTTTAACTGAAGGGTTCAGCAACACCATTCCACCTGTGTTTTGAACCCATTAACGCAGAGTGGCTGTAATAGTAGACCTAAAGTTTTTAGTTTTAAGATACTAATTAGCCTGATGCAACTAGTGATTGCTAAAATGGCTGATGGTCCGACATCAAAATGAAACACAAAACAGTTTGCTTTTGCAAAAATTCAGAATGCAGCTTTGCAGCTACATTCTCCAGCTGCATTAAAGGATTCCAGGACTTCAATCTAAGAGCCCTTGTGTTCAAAGGAAGTATCATGCCCTTTGACCAAAGAGCCTAAGTGGAAAATTTGGGATCGAAACTGCCACAAGACCCACATTACAAATACTACAGCTGAGCAGTGCTATAGAACCAAACCCAACCACGACTGCATCACATGAGGTGGCCATGTGGTTATGGAGATAGACTGCTAATCCATTGTGCTTTGCATGTATGGGTTTGAATCCCATCCTCATCAATAGTTGTCGCACACGTGTTTTTTCCAGCCAAGTGAGATGTATGTCTACCATTATAGACAGACACATTTAGATAAGTGTGGTGGTGTTTTGTTCCTTGCACCATATCAGCAGTTTTGACAGAGCAAGAAAAAGGCAATAACAACCTTAAACCTAACAGAGGGTGAAAATCCAAAGCAAACGCAGCCCAAGGGAAGGGCTTGAACTTGTACAAGGGAGACAATGAGACAATTCAGTAACAATACCTTTAACACCACACCATTGCAGCCACCGTGCTCTTCCCTGTGCACTGTCATTACCATGGTAAGGTCACGGTGTTTGAAATCGCACACCTAACCAGTAAGATTGAGATTGATGGCTTTTGCAGCACAATGCATTTTAGCATCAGGGAAATGTGAGCCCCCACTTCTGTCATAATAAGAGCCTGAATGTATCAAATCGATTCTGCAAGGCGGGGTGTTAAATAAGCCTTGTGCTCTTATAGTTAATTCCGCCAGTGACAATCTCCTTTCTCTGCAGTGAACACAGCAGGGAACACAGGTTGATTTCAAATTTAGCACACAGCTGCAGAATGAAATCATTCTCACCCTGCAATGAAGAAAGGATCAAATTAATTGAATCATCTTCCAGGGCTTTATTGGCAACCTCCCATGACGAAGAAGTGTTTCAGTATTAACCTGTCATTAATCCCAAGTAAGAACCATATGACTCATTTTTTAATCAGCAGGTGTATATCAGAACAAAACAAACAGCAGATTTATCACAGTTGTGCCTCACTGTTTTATCTCTTGTTCCTCAGATACAAAGCAGATAATACACTGGACTAAGCAGGGCACAAAGACAAAAAGGGTATGGTTTATTCATACTAAGGTGCCCAATCCTTGCACTTCCTGCACAAGGTAGGAGGAAGGCGAGACCTGTGAGGCCTTATCACCCCATAATACCAGTGCCAGGCCTTTCAGGTCAACTGGGGAGCTCGCCATACATATGTGAAACGTCTCGGTCATTTAGATAAGAGTACTGTGCACTGCAATCATAAGTATGTTTCTACATTACATTATTATTTATGGACTGTAATTATATAAAAAGAGAATATTCTGCTATTTATATTTAAATCTGCCATTACCAGTGAAAATGACATTACAACCAACCCAACAATGAGAAGCCAACAATGTTAATGTCCAGGAGGTGGCGCAATTGGCACATTTTCTACATTTTTTTCGAATATTGTTCCTACTAAATTCTCATATCGGGGAGATACATTGAGCTACGTTTCTGCAGCAATGCTAGTAAAATGTTCAGAGATTATATCTGAATGGATGCCTCTAGGTATGTAACACTGTTGTCTAAAGCTCGGCAAATTAAATCACTCCTACTAATTAATATAGAACTGATCAAGACTGTACGATATGTTTGTAGACACTTCCCTGCAGAATACTGAAAAATGAGGGACGTCGTGTATTGGCGTTTTCAAACACATACAGAGATAACAGGGTTTACAGCGCATTACCCCGATATTTGTTTAGCTTGGAAATGATCATTAATATCAATACTCTTCATTGACAAAATACAGCCATGGTGCATTTGTGCACAAGTGAAACAATTATTGTTTTAATGATGGTGCACTCAGGACATTTCCAAATATGTTAAAAACCAAAAATGATTCCACAGCTGGGAAGTGTAACAGGGTTGAGGGCTTTGACCCAGTTAGTCTGGAGAAGGGAGCACCTTTTGCTGCATCTGAGTATGATACTTTAATGTTAATCATTTATTACTTTAGTAGAGCAAAATGTTACATTGTAATTGACTTCCCATCAGAGAAATCAATATGACATGTCCAAATTTCAATTAACAATCAATGCTCAGACCACTTGCATGCAAATCACGATCCGTGCTCTCTTTTCATTCTCACCTCCAACAGATTTTGTCATTAATTAAAGGAGCATCACATCTAAAATGTAAATCATTTAATGGGTACTCTTCCTTAACCCAGATGCAAGTGAAGGTGTGCTAAGGGTAGTAAAGACATGATGATGGAATTGGTGCCTAAACTGATTGCTAGGCAATCCCCTCCCGCTGCTGCCACTGAGTCTGTGTAGCTCACATAGTTACAGCCCGCGTGGATTGTCAGGTTGCTGCCTCATGAACAGTGGTGCCAGCCTGGTTCAATAAAGGCTGCCATTATTTGTTTAGCCTTTGCATACCTCTGTGCAAGGAAGATGGCATAGGGGATAAGACGCTATCTCTGTGCTGTGGCAGGCATTGCATTTGTGATAAGACGTGGAATTGATTGTGACTATGAAGTATACCATGGCACTGATGTCCTTGTACAATTTCCAGTCTGACTCTCATAATCCGGCTGTCTGATTATCTGATCCTCATATTGTTAGACTGGGATGATAAGGTATCATCATTATAAAACTTGAAGTGGTATGCATGGATTGTGTAAAGCTAAAATGAAGATTGCTGGAAAAGAAATCCGATGTTAGAATTAAATGATGACAAAAAACCATTGACATACATGATGAGATAAGACAAGTTCTGTGTAACAGGATAGGGCTGTGCGGCACAGTTGGCTGATTCCCATTTTTCTCTGAAATCGTGACCTTCACCCGCTAACAGAGAACCTGAATTATTGCGGAGGAAGGCAGTTAAAAATTAAGGAGTGCACTCAGGACACTCAGGAAAGTCAACCAGACACCCTCACTGCAACATGAGAAGCACCTGATGTCTACAAAAGAGAAGGTGTTAACTGGATCTCTGCGACAACATGTCTGCCTGAAATAATGCACAGCTATCCTGTGACCCTTAACTGTCGGGGATGTCTAAGCAGCACAGAGGGAAGGCACAGTAGATAAATGGACCACTGCCACACGAACTGCAAAGCAAAAATATCTTGGGAAAAAGCAGCAGTAATAAGAATCTTCAGAGAGAATGTACTATTGTAGTACTCCATGAAAGATGAATCATGCACTGAAAAACAGCTTCAAGACACCAGCTGGGAATCAGACTGCTCTGTGAACAATTACCTCAGACGAGCCACGTAGGGGCGTACAGAGCAGTTGCTCTGGCAAGAGACCATTGGGAGGACATACAGTCCTATGTGGAAAAAAATACACAGGAAAGCCAAAGGAACAAGATTCTTCAGATAAATAATGCAACGACTGCACCATTTTAAATGATACCAATTGACCACCTTCATCTTGAAAGAGGCAAAGTTGGTGTTAAATACATACATTGTTTGTGATTATACTTTAATCTTGGGCAGGCCTACACAGCTTTAAAAAAATCAATCCAGACACCTTCAGCCCAATGACACAGCTGTGAAGATTCTTAAATTTAAAGTAAGAAAAGGATTTAGCCTTTGAACTACAGGATTTTAAGGTTAAGTGTGGAAGCAAATGATTTCTTGTAAACAGAGAGAGAACACCCTGAACAAGCAAAGGAAGAGTCATATGTGCAGGATATGGCTGTCACACTGAGGAATCAGGGACAGATTCAGACTAACAGGAAACAGTGTATAGCCTGCATACTTTGACAACTAAACCATTGTCTTCCATGTGTCTGTCCCACCAGTTCCTAGACATTATCTAAATTTGTTAAAATGTCCATACAAACTACCCTTCACACCTACATTTCACAAAGAGAACTTGTAATTTTTAAGTTTTCATCACTTCACCTCGTCATCACATTGCTAACAAGAGTGTTAGTTGTTCTGGGGCAGTCAAGTGTTTAGATTTCAGAGGACAGATGGGTATCAGGACTGTCCACTTTTGCCTTGTATCTCCATTTGTCAGACTGTTGGCTCTTTGGTTAATTTGTCTGTACAGTACGTTGGTTGCTCTTGCTCATCATAAATGTAGGTGTGCTCAGAAGGTGTTAAAATGTAAAACCGTACACACTGCAAATGTCAATAGGAATGTTTTATACACTTAGCTCTATCCCTTTGGGTGTTATGATAAAATATGGAAGGTTAAGTTTTTCCTGAACATAGACTGAAAGCAGTATTGTAGTACTCAATGAAAAATGTGTTTTGAGGCCCACCAACATACATGCAGATTAATTAAAACACCTCAGCAGGGAAATGAATATTGGTACATGTCATTATAGTAAGAAGAAGAAAGATGTCAATGGGATCTGGACAGGAGAAAAATGAAAATCTTGTACACTCTACTGTATTGGAAGAAAAATGACTGTTTATTGTCAATATAGTTAAAAAAAAAAAAGAGAAAAAAATGTTTTCAGCGAAACATGTAAACACAGGGAACAGGAACATAATGAAGGGTTATCCATAACCCTAGCCATAACCCTAGCCCTAACCCTAACCCTAGCCGTAACCGAGTTTACGAGTTAAAATTAGCATTGTTATAGCAGAGGAGGAAAAAGGATGTCCATTGGAAGGTTCAGAGCCCCAAGACATATAAAGTTGCATGAAGCAGGAACACCACTAACTTGTTTCAAGTGAGCAACACATTGAATTTCACTGTGATCAGATACGTCCAGTAATGTAAATCATCTAAATATATAATATATCTAGCTACATAGTTTATTTTCAGTGACCTGAATGAATAAGAAATCCAGTCAGTTTACGTATCAGAGATGTGTCTTTCAGCCTGCCACACAAAATTAAAAAATGATGTTGCATTTTTCTGTGCTCGATTTCGGAGCCTTGTGTCAACCAGTCATCCTCAATCGCTGTACGGTAATTCGATTTGTAGTTGCAGTCAGGTCAACGCAGGGGAAGGCAAACCTCTGAGACGCGAAAATGTTGTCTTCGACTTTCCGAACGGCAGTTTCTCAAACGGTAAGTATAGGACCATGCAACTCGGAAAAATCAAACACTCAGTAACAAAAATGACGCATATTCTGCAAATACAAACGCTTCATAAATCAATGGAGCGAATCGGTTGTCATTGGTGTGGGGGAACTGCGGCCTGTACATGGTTAGCTAGCTAACTTAGCTTGCGAGATAATCCAAGGGCAAGGAGAGTTTAAGCGACCT